AACAGTAGAGATGTTCAAACAGATTGATGTGATGGAAGGAGATGCACACGGTTCATAGAAATGCAAACAGGCAGACGCGCATGCCAGCAGACAGACGGACAGACGCTCTCTGTTTGAGCACAACTTCACAGCTCAGTGAGACGCAGGGAGATGCTTGAGAGTGGAGAGCAGAATGGAGTGAACGTGCCTTCTCCCGCCGAGCTGTGGAGAGGTGGCCTTTGAGCCGGGTGACAGATTACAGGTCACTTATGTTGCCACGGAGATTGCTGTGGATGGCGGAGATGAATCACCCATCAGCATTCTTCTGTAAACCATCAATCACCTCTGACTCCTCACAACAGACACCGGCGCCCCACCCTGTGCAAACACACTTACACACATTAGCAGCAGGCACGGTGCAAAATCTCACAGTGGATGAGTTCTGCTGACGAATCAACTGAAACTCCGTGAGAACGCCACCCCCTCTCATACGCTGCTCTTCTCCATCAGCCGTCCTCTTTCATCCCCTCTTTTCTCTCTCACCCCCACATATCACTTTTACTGTCATTTCAGTCTCAGCCTTCTCCTTTGTCACCTGCTCCTCCCTTCACCTTTTTCTCCCACCCTGTCCGCTTCCTCCCCGTCACAGAGTTAATCTCCACCCCGCAGTTCTTTGTGCCACAGTGGTATATCAGTCTCCTGAGTCTCGCTGGCCATCTTGCAGCCCAGCACAACAGAGAAGGCAAATCACTGCTGACATTTTAAAAGGCGCTGGATCAAATGGCCCGCAGTGGGCCGGGCGTGAGGAGGCACCATTTGTTCAATGACTTCAACATCCCAGTAGACATTATCATTTGTCTCTGCTCTGGCTAGCTAAGAGGACAGGTTAAATCATAGTGACAAGTAAAAGCCACAACCATAAGTCTAATCAGCCGGCTGATGCTTAGGATCGTGCAACGATTCATATCAGCTGTCTGTGTGTGTTTTTGTCATTGACGTGTGAATTTATTGCGCGTCTGCAGACGCTGCTAAAGCTCGCTTCCCAATCCCTCTGCAGAATGTCTCGTTGTGTGTTTCTGATTAATCCCAGATTAGATTCTGCATTTGTTTTTCCTTGCAATAACTTACTTTCCACAGAGTAAAAGCAATAACAAGTTAACAAACTGATTTTTGTAATTTAATAAAAGTAAATGAGCACAACACTTTATTGAGTCAACGTCTATATTTAGACACTTCCACTCACATCATAATTGATGTCGGTGTGCCTTTTCACAAACGCCTAGAATTATGAGGTTTCACCCAACCAATTTTCAGAGATCAAGCTAGTCACAGTTTGCGCCATGACACTATTCCACCAATCAGCAGGGGGCTATGACACACCAAATATCGGTGTGTCTGCAAAACCAGAAAACTGCCTGGTCTTCTCTTGCATTTACAATTCAATTCAATTCAGTTTTATTTATAAAGTGCCAAATCAAGAGTCATCTCAAGGCACTTCACATAATAAGCATTCCAATCCAGTTCAGTTCATTAAGCCAATCAGAAAAAATGTTTCCTTATGTTTATGTTTATTCATTGAGGAGACGCTTTTATCCCAAGCGACTTGCAATTTATAACCTACAGGGCATGTTGTGATCTGTGGGGGAAACCGGAGTACCCGGAGGAAACCCACGCATGCATGGGGAGAACACGCAACTCCACCCAGAAAGACCGCAGCCGAGCCGAGTTTCGAACCTGCAACCTTCGTGCTGCGAGGCAACAGTGCTAACCACTGCGCCACCATGCAGCAGTTTCCTATATAAGGAACCCAGCAAATTGCATCAAGTCAGTGACAACACCTTTGTTTCTGCTGCGATTTTTCATGAGATGGACTTAAAGATCTAAAATTCATTCCAGATTCACAATATTACCATTTCTCTCAAACATTGTTCTCAAATCAGTCTAAATGTGTGATAGTGAGCACCTGTGCTTTGCTGAGATAATCCATCCCACCTCACAGGTGAGCCACATCAAGATGCTGATCTGACATCATGAGTAGTGCACAGGTGTACCTTATACTGCCCACAATAAAAGGCCACCCTGGAATGTGCAGTTTTGTCTCCCAGCAAAATGCCACATATGCCACAAGCATTGAGGGAGCGTGCAATTGGCATGCTGACAGCAGGAATGTCAACCAGACCTGTTGCTCGTGTTGTTCATTTCTCCACCATAAGCCGTCTCCAAAGGTGTTTCAGAGAATATGGCAGTACATCCAACCGGCCTCACAACTGCAGACGATGTGTAACCACACCAGCCCAGGACCTCCACATCCAGCAGGTTCACCTCCAAGATCATCTGAGACCAGCCACTTAGACAGCTGCTGAAACAATTGGTTTGCATAACCCAACAATTTCTGCTCAAACTGTCAGAAACCGTCTCATCTTGATGTGGCACACCTGTGAGGTGGGATGGATTATCTCAGCAAAGCAGAAGTGCTCACTATAACACATTTAGACTGATTTGTGAACAACGTTAGAGAGAAATGTTAATATTGTGTATCTGGAACGAATTTTAGATCTTTAAGTCCATCTCATGAAAAATCAGAGCAGAAACAAAGGTGTTGCGTTAATATTTTTGCTGAGTGTATAAAACCCTCTCACTGTCAATGTGTGAGTGAAAAACAAGCCAAGTTGAGTCGAATATAGACCTCGGAGATAAAATTGTGTCAAAAATAGAAAATGGGAAAGAAGATAAGTGCTGTATTTTATATTTCAGAGTTAACTTTTCTCTGACTTCCTGGATCTAGCTGTCTAAAAATCAAAGTGAGTGGTCAGATAAAACGACTCTTTTGGCAGACAGACGGGTAACACGCTCGTCTCTGTGAGTGGGATCAGACATTCCTTTTATGCAGACGGGGAATCTTACCAAAACATATGGTGCAGCACTCCATCAGCAGGTATTTGAGGTAAAATTACTATGCAGAAGAAATTTCTCATTACACGACATATGACACCCTGTTGGAAAATGTTCCAAAGGGCACCAGGATTCCTGATCTGCATAAAGATCTTAGATCCTAATTATGCACAGCAACACATACTGAACATTTAAGTCATGCATTTTCTTCTGAACATGGGGTGCAAACATACATTTCCACATTTATTTTCAATATCTTGTGGACTTTTCAACATGTTCTCTTGCAAAACATCCAGAAGATCAGAGAGTAAGAAGAGGTTCAAAGTCGCTTCACATTTTCCAGATCCGAGTGAGGGAGTTAGCATGCTGATTTGACATCTTCATGTTCTTTCAGTTTACTGCCTCACTCTTGAAAACAAGCTGAGTTACTTCATCCAAACACCAAAATGAACAAGAACGGTCCTCAAGACGCCTCATCCTGTAAATGTCTACATGTTGTAAGCAAAATAGGTATTTGTGCAGCAATCTCCCTGTCCCCATCAATCTGCTGGAAAACGTGTGCAGCTGAAAACCTCCCGCTGAGGTGTTTGAGTGAGAAGCTACTGTGTTAAATCAGGACTAAATTGTCTGAACGTTCCTTTGAACATCGTTGGTTTTCCTGTGTGAAATCGGTTAAATGTGGTTTTGGGAGCAACATTCTTTACAGATGTTTTCTGCAGAAGGACAGAACTGAAACTATAGATTCAGAAAATTCAGCTGTTCTGACCTTTTCCAGAGTCTAAAGCAGGGGTGCCCAATCCTGGTCCTGGAGGGCCGGTGTCCAGCAGGTTTTGTGGGTTTTCTGCTCCAACAGACTTGATTCAGTGGTTGAAACACCTGTGCAGCAGCTCATCAGGCTCTGCAGAAGCCTGTTACTTAAGCCTGAGTCATGCTTCTGCGTCTGCGTCAGTGCGGAGACACGCAACGCCGTTATCCGTCCTTGCGGGCCTGCCGGAGAGCTCTGCAAGGACGGACGGAGTCGAGCTCTCTTTTCTAAACATCCGTCCGTCGAGACGGACAACGCAAGCTTGTGATTGGTCAGGATGCCGTTGTCATCTACGCCGCCGCCATTGCGCCCTCAAAAACATAAAGAGAGCCGAGCATAACTAGCGGCAGACATGGAGCAGCTTGAAGAATGCCTCGCGAAAAAACTCTAAAACCATGAACGTTTAATTCCCCGTGACTGGAGGAGTGAAAAGATGCTCGGCAAGCGTTTATTTGTGGACTGAAATGACAGGAAACGTGGGTTTAGAGGTGGCGAGCGCATGAAGAGGTGGAGGAGGATGAGAGACAAATTTGTCTGTGTTAAAAAGTCTCTTATATACAAAAAAAAAAAAAACCCACAATACAAACACACTGGATGCATGACAGAATACCACAAAACAGCGCTATGCCCTCTGTTGTCCTGGCAGGGAATTGCTTTGCAACACTCCCCAGGAGACGGAGAAGTATGAGGGCAAAACCTCTCCATCCGTGCGTACGTGTCTCTCCCTGTTGGAGCTGACGGAGAAGCATGAATCAGGCTTAAGTTGCTGATTGAAATTAGTTCAAACTAAAACATGCGGGATACCGGCCCTCCAGGACCAGGATTGGGCACCCCTGGTCTAAAGGTTCTAAAGTTGGTGTAAAGGTTTATATTTTAACAAACTAATGAAACGTTTGTAAAAGTACTGCAGCAAGCAGCCAGAGCCTGGCTTGGAACCTTTGGGAGCGTCCCAAGAAAGACATGAAATTGGCTGGACTCCACTACTTCCTGCCCAACCCAAATGAGTTTTAACATTCTTTTTATGATTATTTTTTTGCCAAAATGAATTAAAACTTCAGAAATAAAGGTGTGCTAAGCTTGTGTGATCCCAGCTCCAAGAACGCGAGGCTGTAGTTGCTGCCAAAGGTGTTTAAATCAAACTAAAAAGACATAAAAAGTTTAAAGGAAGACTAAAGACCCAGAATATTTCCTCTAATTTAGTTTAAACAAGAAGAAAACCTCCCCACAACCTTTAATCTCTCACTGTCAATCCAAAAACTGTAAATTAATCAGAAAAAATCCTATTTCCTTTTTAATGTATTCCTAAATCTTTCCCTTCCTGCAGATATCGGACGTTTGTCTCTGAGGACGCCGGTCCCAACACTCTTGTTGCCACCGTCCTGGCCAAAGACCCAGATGGTGACGGGATAATTTACTCCATAACAGCCGGCAACGAAGAAGGAAACTTTGTCATTGACAGCCAGAAAGGTGATATTTCCTACTCCTGCAGCCTGACACCATATTTGCACCTCTCACACTAATTGGCAGGCTCTCCGTCAGACCACAGACTAAATTTAATCTAATCTACTCCTGCTTCACTGGTGCGAGTTGAATGCCCTCTGTTTTCTGACTAAGTGTAGTAAGATAGTGAAAGCTGCATATTTGCTGCTCCATTATGCATATATATATATATATATATATATATATATAAGGATTTCTTGCCAAATTTAGAAAATTCAACACTTTTTTTCTCCTGGCAGGTGTAGAGAGGAACGTTCCACGTGTTCCTTTAGCCTTCCAACGTTGGCGACTGCACAGTTTATCTTTTTTATTTACCCTTTGATCCGAAACCAGTGGCAATCGCTGTGACATTTGTCACCCAACCCTTTCAATTCAATTTCACAACAACTGCTCTATCATAGCTCACCATCTTTGGGCTATGCTTTGCCAGCTCCTCTTTCTTTTGTGTCATCTCGACTCTTTATATTTCCTTCCATCTTTTCTCTGTATTCTTAAGGGTAAAAAAAAAAGAAAAGCTAAGTTTGATACATTGCGGTGGCTGAAAATTCACTGTAGGGCTTCCAGCTCTCTATATGCACACTTTTATATAATTTAACATTTTGAAGAGCAAGCTAGAAAACAAGGTTGACATTTAAGATGAGAGAATTACAGTGTGGAGCACCTTGCTTCTCACCTATTGCAGTGTTGTGGTAATGTCAATGTTTTGTGTGGTCATTAGAGGAGCAGACCTCTTCTCTGGTTGGTGGATAGTCCGAATTACAAGTTACATATGGGAGAGAGGCAAATCAGGCGTATCAGCATGTTGCATTGTCTTTTATTCAAGTGCATTGCAAAGCATGAACGCAAACCCAAAAAGAGTTAAAAACAACAAAAAAGAAAACGACAAACCCCTCCCCCTGTTTTCACTTCGACGGCCCTCCTCCACATCACAGGCTGCTTGCTCGTCCTGCAACCTTTGATGTTTTTTGGTTACTGTTGACGAGAAAGATGTTGACTCAGATGCGTCGTCCTTTTATCCAACCTTTTATCTTGACTGTTACATGAAAACAGACAAAGGAGGCGAGGAGAGCAGCTAATAGGCATCTGCTGAGCTAGGCTAACTTCCATCCAGAGTGTCTTTGCTACTTCATGTTAATATGCTTGAGCTGCGGGGGCTTGTTTAGAGAAAAGTGTGCAATTATTAGATCAGAAACAGGACAAAATCACAAGTGAAAGTGGTTTTTGTTGTGGCCCGTCTTATTGTGCAGCTCTGAGTTTTGATTTCTAGAACAACACATGCATGCTGCTGTGTTTTACTGATGGCTGCTTCCTCACTAGCAAAGCCACTGTGCTAATAACTTCCTGCCAAATGACTAATGGAACAGATCCAAACTCTTTATTGGGATGCAACTTATTTTATAATGTGTATATTAATGGGTCTGAGCTCCCTGTAGGCCTCATCCGGCTCCGCTCCACTCCCCCGCCCAAGCTTCAAGGCTTGGAGTATGTCCTGAATGTAACGACCACAGATGACAATGCATCGGGTGGGCCGCACCCTCTCACCTCTACCGCCCAGGTCATCGTCGGAGTCGATGATGTCAACAACAACAAACCAATATTTGAAGAGGTGAGCATGTTTTACTCTAACTACACGATGCAGATGTTAACTGATCTGTTTAGATTAGGGATGAATTTGAAGATAATTACTTGAGTATTTGTCCCCATGTCCCACTCATGCTAACGGGTTCCTCCAATTCCCACTTCACAAAAGATTCACTTCACTCTTTACTATAGTGCTAATTAAAATATAACTAAAATGTCATTAAAACAGCAAATCAAACAGAAAAAGTGCTGAGCTGACTGAAGCTACGGCACAACTCTAATTAAATTTGATCACATTCACACCTTTTTTCTAATCTGAACAGGCTAATTTTAACAAGCACATTATGATCTGAGTAGTGATCAGTTTACGTTTGTGCTTGAGAACTGACTAATTACATCAGGTTTGCACCACTAAACCTAACCCCCCACACCCTTTCTCGGATGGAGCAGACATTGCAGGTATGCACATGTCTGCATTTGTTAGTCATGCTAGTCAGACGCATTGTTTACCTTCATTTTCAGCTGTTTTTGTGGATCAACGTAAAGGGGTGTTCACATATTCTGGCAGCAAAGGCCGTCGTTCTTACTCAGCATCCCTTTCAAAATAAAACTACGGCTTCAACAGGCAGGAGTTTATTTTGGCATTTCTTTTTTGGCAAGTGTTCTGTTGAAAAACGCGACTTTTTGTAAGTTGCGTTAGCAGCACTACCAGGTGCCAGAAGTGGAAATAATTCAAAACATTAGAACAAAAAGTCACATTTTCCCCTTCATTTCACGTTTTAGAATTCATCAAATGTTCGAAAATTAGTATTTTAATATCAGTCAACAACACTTTTCTAATGGACTCCTCCAAATGTCAGCATTCATTATTATGTTGTTGTGAACATTCTCCAGCTCAGATGCCAGAGTGAAATGTTACCATTTTAGGTTTCCAGGAACAACAGATATGCAAATCAACTACAAGAGTGTACTGTCTCCCACCTTGTCACCACTTTATGTTTGTTTCTGTGCCATAATCCTTTCAAACCTAAAGAAATCCATTTGTAGTCTAAAATAATCACAAAAATAGCGTCCGCGCTGAAGATGGGTGCAAAAACGATCCTCTCACATTGAAGTAGAAGCTGAGTGCGGCTGAATCATTATTTCTTTCCTGCTGAAAAGCAACATTCATGTTGCTGAAGCGTTTATGGAGAGATTTTATGAATATGCAAAATGCAGGAATATGAGATGACAGCTTTTTTTCCTTTTGGGGCGATCATTATCTCCGTGTTTTCCTCATCAGTCTCATCGTCTGAGTGAACTCTCCTCCTTCCTCCATCTCAGCAGCTCTCTTGTGTTCTTGGCTTCCTCGTTCTCCTGCCCTCCGTCTCTTTCTCCCGCTCTTCTTCTGTTTTCCCATGGGTTCCGATTAGCTTGCACACGCGCTCTATCTTTAGGCACTCTGTCGGGATTTCAATTAGTTTATGAATAAAAGTGCAACATCACCATAATACCCTACACCTGTTTTAATGAACTTCCTCCTTAATGAGGAATGACTTGACATAGTCGTGCGGAGCTGGAGCTCCTGAGTTCTCGTCTGCAGTCTGGGAACTCTGCAAACCTGAGTAACTATCAAGCAACGCCTCAGAACCACACCGGCTAACCTGATGTTTTATGTGACGTGGTTTTCGCGAGCAGGTTTTTAGAGCGCTGCTCTTTGTTCCATGATGTCACGTAAACCCTGGTGTTGTTCTTTCTTCCTGCATGTTTTGATCCATTTTAGTCCTCTTTTTTTGTGTTTCATGGTCATTCAATAAAAAAATAAATAGCTTGCATTAATATTTGTGTACAAGACAAAGGACTCCAGAGAGGTTCGCCTAATCTGGGGTATATGTTCTTTAGAGGGGTTGGATTGAGTTCCCCGTTAAGACAAAGCTGTTTGCTGTGGGCTCTTCAAAAGAAATCAGTTCAAGTGTTCTCATTTCCTCAGATGTGCTGTACTGAATCTGTTGCATTGTGCTGATGTACTCTGTCCCTGTGCAGAGTGGGTTCTGACCTTCAACTTAATGAGTTTGTTTTCTTTGATCCATGCATTCTCATTAATGTAACACATCCTGACTTTACATTTTTTATCTGTATTTATTATCTTTTTTTATTAGTATTTCATTGTGACCCTCTCCTTATCTCAGTGCCAGCAATACCGTGAGCAGGCTTCAGTGCTGGAGAACCAGCCAGCGGGGACTTTTGTGTTGCAAGTGCATGCGGAGGATGCAGATGAGGGAGCAAATGGAAAAGTCAAATACGGCTTAATGCACAGAGACAGCGCCATGCCTGCCTTCAGAATCCATCCAGACTCAGGTAGAGAAGTCACGGGTTGTTGGGGGCAAAACTGGCCTCGTTTCTGTATGAGAAAGGCAGAAGTGTCCTGTAGCCGACATCAATGATGAGCACTTTAAGACATAAACGTTATATGACAGAAGAGAGATGTGAGATGAAATATTCACAACATGCACATGAAAGTAATAATTCACATGGATACAGGTCAAATGTCAAATCTTTGAAATTGAGCAGCAATTCATTCAATCTAGTCAAGCCTTGTTTGTGTCTTTAAAAAAAAAGATTATACATTATAAAGGAGAAGCTATTTTGGAATCTTGATGTTATTCCGTCAGTCATTTTCTCTCAAGCTCTATCTTCCTGATCTCAAGAATTAATAACAAAGTCGGTGCACTTCAAAGGAACGCACAAATTACCCCGAATAAATCCATAATTGTTTACTTGTCTTCGTTTATGGATTGATGGATGGATGGACTCAATTGGGAGAATTGGAAAAATGGCTGAATGGATGACTGAATTCATAAGTAATCATGTGTGTCTATTTGCCCGGGGGTTGATGAAGGGGCTTGATTATGGTTCTGACTTTTTACAGGAGTGATTGTGACAGCCAGGCGCTTCGACAGGGAGCGCCAGAGAGAGTATTCAATTACAGTAACGGCCACTGACTGGGCTGAGGAGCCGCTCATCGGCATTTGTCAGCTCACCGTTCAGATATTGGACCAGAATGATAACAGCCCCAAGTTTGAGAATTTGCGCTATGAGTGTAAGTATTGGAGAAATTTTATGCATGAAATGAAAATGCCTGCACTACAGCAAAGGCAGAGCCCCGAAACGAGATGGAAATGGACACAAATTAAATGGATGGCTTGGGATATTTGAAATGGGTTTCTGTGGAAAAGTAAAAAACATTTGATCCCTTCGCTGTTGTGGATAACCTATTGACGACTTCAGATTTTATCTCTGATCAAACAGATGAGCTAACATCTTAGGTGTGTTCTTGCTGTGTCTTTCTAATTCCATGCTTTCGTTCTTTTTAAACACAGAAACAGTTTTGTTTACCTGTTTTGTAGCTACAGTTTCGCCGACGGCAGCCGTCGGCGAAACTGTAGCTACAAAACAGGTAAACAAAACTGTTTCTGTGTTTAAGAAGAACGAAAGCATGGGAGATGAGCTAACAACTAGTCTTTGGCTTTCCAACAGATGGGTAAGCGGGGTGGCATAACGTAACGGCCACAAAGTGTAGTACACCGCTAACAACCACATTTATAATCCCTTAGTTTTCTGTTCTTATCTTGTACAGAGTAGCAATGTTTCTCTGAACATCTTACGTGTGCTCTTGCTGTGTTGTATTTCTAATTCCATGCTGTAGTTCTTTTTTAAAACACAGAACAGTTCTGTTACCTGTTTTCCCGCTACGTTTCGTTTGCGGCTGCAAACTTCCTCCAAACGAAACGTAGCGGGAAAACAGGTAACAAAACTGTTCTGTGTTTTAAAAAAGAACTACAGCATGGAATTAGCAATGTTTCTGTTTTTTCAACACATTCTCACTCCCAGCGCGACAAAAACAAACGCTTAGTCATCCACCCTCCGCCTCAGATCACTGACGCCAAAAGTGCCCTTTTTTGTTACTTATGTGCGAAAAGGGGTTTTTCCCTTTTCTGACTGCAGATCCCAACGCAGCGTTACACTGACGCATTGGGATGGCCGCAGCCAGGGCACCAAACAAGCTCATTGTACCTCACCCTAACCTTATCCTCTTATTTAACCTTCCCCTCACCCCATCCTAACCTTAACCATCTTGCTAGCGAACACGTTAGTGATGTGTCGGTCGCTCTAAAAGCCAGCTCTATGAAGTGAACGGCGGGAGCCGCCTCGTCATTGGTCGAGTTTGGACCGAGCCAACGTGAGGGGGAGGTTTCAACTACCACAGTGGAGGTTAAAAGTAGAGGGTATCTGTAACCTCCCCCTCACCAGATGGGATGTTCTAACGTTCCCCTTGGGCGGCAAATACGAAAATTCACAGTCAGACTCCGACTGTCAGAGTCAGAATGCATGGGAAACAAACACTTGATCACAGTGAGAGTAACGTTTTAGGTAGCAAGAGGGTTAAGGTTAGGATGAGGGTGAGGGGAAGGTTATAAATAGCAAAACGTTAAGGTTTAGGTGCGGTTAAATGAGCTGTTTCGGTGCCGCATCAGCGGACATCCCATCGCGTCAGTGTAACGCTGCATTGGGATCTGCAGTCAGAAAAGGGAAAAACCCCTTTTTGCACATAAGTAACGAAAAAGGGTACTTTTGACGTCAGGGGTCTGACGTGGAGGGTGGCTGACCAAGCGTTTGTTTTTCACGCGCTGGGAGTGAGAATGTGTTGTTTTTTTACCTTGCTTGCTGACAGTTTTGGTGTGACACAGTTCCCATCATCAGAGCCTCGCCGGTGTTGACGGCATCACTTCCGCTGTTTATCCGCGGCCAGTGGGGGATGATCACCAGGTCCCATGAATGATCCAGGGTGTAAACTCCATCCCTATAGGGTAAACTATAGGGATGGTGATCAGCAGGGAAGGTGTGGGCAGTAGAGGGTGACATCGTCCCCTACTGCCCGCGGATAAACAACTGAAGCTCTCATGAGGATGACTGTGAGACACTGAAACTGTCAGCAAACAAGGTAAAAAACAGAAACTGTGCTACTCTGTACAAGATAAGAACAGAACAACTAGGGAATTAGAAGAGAAGCACCAAAAGAATATAACAAAACGTTTTAAAGAAGCTACCTTCATAGTCGATGTGTCTTAATGGCTGCAAAGCAGCGTGTTTTGATTCGCCGCAGAAGCGTAGTGTTTAGTGCTCCGCTAAATTTAAGCTTCAAGTCTGTTTTTGGAGCTACGCTTCTAGAACGTGAAAAACTCAACAGATCAGATTGGGCCAGACAGGAAGTCAAACACACAAAAACAGTGTCAAACATTTGGTCACTTTCAAAATAAAAGACACATATAGATTTCCTGTTGCTTAACCAGTAAAAAAAATAAATAAAAAAAAATTACTGGTGAAACGAGGTAAAAAGAACAGGAAATAAACCACACACCTTTTGGATGCCTGTTGCCATCTACTTTCTAATTACCATGTGAACTTTCAAAATCATGTGGTCTTGCAAATTCTTCCGTGACCCCTGTGTGGAACGTTTTTGCTGATGTTTTGCATCTGTAATGCTCCTGGTGGGAAGGGAGGAGCCACCATGCTTGTGAGGAAAATTACACACAACTTAAGCCTGAGTCATGCTTCTCCGTCAGCTCCAAAAGGGAGAGACACGCACGCACGGACGGAGATGTTTTGCCCTCCTCCGTCTCCTGGGGAGTGTTGCAAAGCAGTTCCCTGCCAGGACAACAGAGGGCGTAGCGCTGTTCTGTGGTATTCTGTCATGTATCGGTCTAAGATCGTGTGTTTATATTGTCTTTTTTTTGTATATGAGACTTTTTAACACAGACTAATTTGTCTCTCATTCTCCTCCACCTCTTCATGCGCTCGCCGCCTCTAAACCCACGTTTCCTGTCATTTCCGTCCACAAATAAAATGCCTGCTGCCTACCTTTTCACTCCTCCAGTCACGGGGAATTAAACGTTCATATTTTTAGAGTTTTTTCGTGAGGCATTCTTCAAGCTGCTCCGTGTCTGCCACTAGGTATCCGCTGCTCGCTTTGCTTTTGAAGGCACAATGGCGGCGATGTAGACGACAGCGGTGCCCTGACCAATCACAAGCTTGCGTTCTCCGTCTCGATGGACGGATGTTTAGAAAAGAGAGCTCGACTCCGTACGTCCTTACGGAGCTCTCCAGCAGGCCCGCAAGGACCTAATAATGGCGTTGCGTGTCCCCGCGCGGACGCAGAAGCATGACTCAGGCTTTACGCCTCTGGTGGAAATCACAATTATTCAAATAAAAAGAAGTTTACAACAGTTAAACAAATTATATTCTTTTGCCTTAATATTGAAATAAATTATACATTTTCAGGCTATCCTCTCAGATATAGTATGACATTTCAGTCACAAGTGCCATATTATTGCAAACACATTTTTATAAACCACTCAAAGCGATTCAGGTACAGTTCCTTGAAATTTGGTCTGAATCCTTTTATCCTTTATTCAGCCACATCAAGATTCAATAAAATTACTATGTTTCCACCAGTTTAACAGAAGTAGAGCTCAACTTACCTGAGTCTCTCCTCTCTAGACTTCCTAAGAGAAGACACCTTGGTTGGTACGAGTTTCCTCCGCGTGGCAGCTCATGATGATGACTTCGGTACCAATGCTGCCATCACTTACTCCATGTCGCTGGAGCAGCCCGAGTACCTGCAGGTCAACCCTGTCACTGGATGGGTCTACGTCAACCAGCCCATATCTCAGGTTAGTCAGCTGTTAGCAGGCTCTCTCTCTATCTCTCTCTCTCTCTCTCTCTCTCTCTCTCTCATCTCTCTCTCTCTCTCTCTCTTCTCTCTCTCTCTCTCTCTCTCTCTCTCTCTCTCTTTCTCTCTTTCTCTCTCTCTCTCTCTCTCTCTCTCTCCTCTCTCTCTCTCTCTCTCTCTCTCTCTCATCTCTCTCTCTCTTTCTCTCTCTCTCTCTTTCTCTCTCTCTCTCTTTCTCTCTCTTCTCTCTTTCTCTCTCTCTCTCTCTCTCTCTCCTCTCTCTCTCTCTCTCTCTCCTCTCTCTCTCTCTCTCTCTCTCTCTCTCTCTCTCTCTCTCTCTCTCTCTCTCCAGGCTGCATCAGACAGTAGCCCGTGGGTCTGTGTCAACAAAGTTAATGAACAAGCCACATCAAAGTGCCTCTTTGCGGTACGTCTGCACCCAGAGGTGCTGCGTGTGGGAAATATTGCCGAGGAAAAAATAAAAGCAGGAGGAGGAGGAAGAAGAAGAAAACAGATTGGAGCCAAACAAATTATTTAAAACACATTTTAACTGTCAGTGATTCCTGTGGTTAAATGTGAAGCTACCACACAATACTCAGCAATAAAAGACTATAATTTAAAACTGGATAAAGATCTTCTAGTCTGCAGTAGATGGCTTTTCTAATAGATGGCTTGCAGTTTAAAGAAACCAGTCATTACACACTGGAACTCTTTTCAGTGCGATGGCTCTGGCTTTGATGGATTGCATTGGAGTGTTTACTTTTGTTTGATATAATTTATCATTCAACAATTTATAAGAGAACCATTGTGAAACAGTGTGATTTAGGCTGTTTTCAGCACTTTGATAACTGGAACATTTTACCTAATGCAACAATTTCCTGAAACAAAACAAAACATTAGAATAAGCTATTTCCCTAACTGAAGAAAAATAAAATCCTGGTTTGACTCATTTTCAAATCATAATTGTGTTTGTCCTAAATCATTATTGTGAGGGTAAAAGTTGCTGCAGGTTTTATTGGGCTGCGCTCTACTTCCTGCTGGTGCA